GGGTCTGCCCCAATCTAACATCCCCCCTCCCTCCCCCCTCGATGCACGCGCACACGCACACGCACCTCCATTTGCCGTTCCTTCCTCTCCCCCTCTTCCGTCCTTCCTCTTTCATTCCCCCCCCCCCCCCCCGTCCTCTCCACTCCGCGCAGCAGACCGATATGGCTGTCATTGAGGAGCTCCCGGATGAGCCACAGTCCCCGGAGGTGGCCTCGCCTCCCGAGGCCGCCCCTACTCCGGAGGCGGCCGGCGGCGCCGATGTCCAGGCCCTCGGCGAGCAACTGGCCGCGGCCGATCTGACACCTGCCGACGAGGCGGATTTCTTCCACGACTCGCTGGAATCGGCCGACCCCTCGGCCCTGAAGGACATCGGCAACCGGTACTTCGCGCAGCAGCGCTTCGCCGACGCCATCGACTGCTACCTTCAGGCGCTGGACATCCTCGGCCCGGTTCCCCAGCCGGCTCCGAAGGAGGAGCCTCCTGGTGCTGGCACCGGGGGGGGCTCTGGCGACTTGGAGGCGGCCACCGACCTGCCGGACAGCGAGCGGCCCCTGGTCGCCGAGCCGGGTTCCGACGCCGAGCAGCCCAAGCCGCCGGCCCAGGACCCCGCCGCTTCGGAGCCTTCGTCGTCCGACCCGTCGTCCGAGGCACCTGCCGAGGCGGCCGATGAGCATGAGTCGCTGCCGAGCGAGCCGGCCGAGATCCGCGCTCTGCGCATCTCCCTCCTGAACAATTTGTCCATTTGCGAGGCAAAGCTGGTGCGCATGACCTTCTCCTCCTCCTCCTCCTCCCACCGACCCTCCCGCCTGTCTTGCCTTCGTGTCCTGTGTTGCCAACAATCCTGACACACACACACACACTCACACTCACACACACACACACACACACTCCTCCCGACATAGGAGAATCTCGAGGCTGCCATCCACTACTGCTCGATGGGTACGTCACCGGCGAGGGCGTTTTCCTCCCTGTACACCTCTCCCTCCCCGTGCTAACCTCCGCTTGTTGCGTGCCTCTCCCTGCCTTTCTCCCTGCCTTTCTTCCTCACTCTCTCTCTCTGTGCCGGGCCATGGTAGTCCTGGATTTGGACCGTGACAACGGCAAGGCTCGCCTCCGCCGGGCCTCGTACCGTGAGAAGTCCTCCGATCTGCTGGACCTCAGTGGCGCGCTCGAGGGTGTGTCTTGATCCTCCTTCCCTGCGTCCGCATTTCCGCCCCCGCGCCCACCCCCACCACTGACCAACGGCCACGGCCACGGCCACCGCCCTTCCAGACTACGATGAGTACCTCCGCCTTTTCCCTGCGGATCGCGGGGTGAAGCGCACGCGCGACCAGCTGGAGCCGCGCGTCAAGGCCGAGCAGGAGCGTCTTCAGGCGGAGATGCTGTCCAAGCTGCGCGGGCTGGGCGACTCGATCCTCGGGAGGTTCGGCATGTCCATCGATCAGTTCAAGTTCGAGAAGGACGAGAACACCGGATCGTATTCGCTCAAGTTCGAGCAGGGCCGTTCCTGATGGCGCAAATCTCGCAGAGGCGGAGACACACACACGAAGCCGCCGCTCGTCGCCCGGGAGGGGGGGAGGAGCACTGCCAATGTATGTGCCGCGGGAGACGGGACATGCACGGCGCGATCGTGGGTGAAAGTCCCCCGCGTTTGCCTGCCGGGTCTCTTTTCGTCCTTCTCCCTGCCGCTGTCTCCCTCCTTCTCTCACGCCCTCGGGGGTGTCGGCAATGCCCCCCCCCCCCGGGAAATCGGCGATGTGGGGGGGGGGATGACCGCACCCGCTGTTGTCCCGCCCCGGGGTCGCACAGTCGCAAGAGAAAAAATACAATAGAAGTCACTCGAGAGAAAGAGGTGGTGCAGGTCGGCATTCGGCTCCCAGTGAACCGGTCTGTGGGTGGGCGTGCCCCCAACCCTCCATGGAACGTGATTCGACGGATAGGGTTAAGAAAGGTGCCCGAGAGCCGGTGCCTGGCTCGGCGGCCGGTATGAGGGGGAGCATCCGTGGACGCAAGGCGCGCGCGCGCGCGCGCACGGCCAGCTGCCGGCCCCCTCCCCCTTCCCACCTCGCGAGCGCGTCTTTATCGCTCTGCTGGCCTGTCTCCCCGGGGCTGGAATGCCGGTTGTGGCAGGGGGAGGGGTAGGGGAAATCCCAGGCTGCTGGAAGAAAACCGCCGGGGGGGGGGGCTTTCTCCAGGCGGCCTACATGGGCACACGGGGCAGGCGGCGGCTGTACCAGCCGTCATGTTCCGGGACGCGCCTCCCCTCGCTCCGGGTGCACTCCTTTCGGTCTGAGCAGCAGAGATTGGGCGGAAATTCGTCCGCCCGCCGGGGCAGTGGGCCACCCGGGACTGGAGCCCCGCCTGCCTCGCCGCCGGGACGGGGGGGGGGGGGGGGGGCCGGGCCCTTTATCGGCACTTTCACGCCCCTGCTGCCCCTGTGGGGGGGGGGGCTCTGGTGCCCAGTATGGGAGCCTGCCGCCCTACCCTTTGTTGCGGTTGTCCGCGGGGCGACTTGTCCTGTGGTCGGCGGTCAGCGCGCTCCCTCCGGCTGGGCCAAAGCTCGAGGCAAGGCCGCCGGAGGGCCTCTCTCTCTCCCTCTCTCTCACTCGGTGTTGGGCTCTTGGCGCGCCCGTTCACGAGCTAGGGTCGAGGACGAGGGCTAGGGTGCCGGTCCGCCCCGCGGCGGCAACAACGGCAGGCCGCGGATCTCGCCTGCCTCAGCCCCCCCCCCCGTTCTCCCCCCGGCGACAGGCCCTCGCACTGGCTCCCCACGGTGAAGGCGTAACTGTGATGGAACCGAAGGCGG